CCATTTTTTATTCAGCTTCCACATCTTCTCTCACATCAACCATCGGAGTTAAACTCGACATGATTGATGGTACGATGGTTACCAATGATCCCTTTAATATGATCCCTCGTTAATATACTATCCAAATGGATTGATATTAGCGAGGTCAAGTGTAGCATAACAAAAATAATAATAAATAAATAAATTGCGTTTTTTTAAATAGTTATTATCGATCGGTAAAATTAAATTTGAAAGTGACGTCTAACATTTATACTAACGCTAAATTTCGAATTTTGTTATTGCTCAAAAAAATTGTGTTTTGATTGATTAATTATATTGTAATGTACGAGTCTTCAAATTTTTTTTATGCAAAATGATTTCCATTTATATGTAATCGAAAAATGTACCCTGTGCTAAAGTTTACGAATCTTACAAAAACTCATTTTAATTTTCAGGGCAGTTTGGGCTCTTTCTACTACAAAAGCCCCATATGTCGTTGCGATATTACTGTGTTTTTATTACCAAATTTTTGTAATGATATGTATTGAATTAAAAGAGATTGAACTAATCATTTAATATTTTATATTAAATTTTGATTTTGTTATTTTATATTTTTATTTTGATATATACCGTATTTTCATTGCCTGATTTTTGGATTATACCCGATCTGAACTATGGGATCTTTATTAATCAAATGAAATTTTTTTCAAATAGTTATTATAAATACAAAGTGCCTCAGATCACAGCTGATGTAGATCTTCAGGTGAGGTTCGTAGCCTATCGATTATCATCTAAGCTGCAATCTAACGAAACAAGAGTAAAAGAAATTGAATAAAAGACCTTTTACTTGAATTCTTTTTATTCTTGGATTTCTTCGGCATTTCCTCGCTGGTAGCATTTTTAACACCAGTAGCATTCTATATTTTTGAATCACTTTGGCATTATCTTACCTCCAATAGCATTCTTGAATCTCTGGTATTTTATCACCAGCAGTAAATTTTTTTTACATAAGTCTCTTTAGTACCTCCGTTCTTTTCTTTGAATTTCTTTGTCGGGATTTTCACGGCACATTCTATTTTCAATTAATATGTACTTTTTTCTCTCTATACATATCGTTTTTTTTTTTTTTTTTTGCCTAAATTTTCGCAGCATATTCTTCTCGTCTAGGTTTTTCAGCATGTTCAATTTTCAATAATTTCTTTACATAAAGTTTTTTTTTTAGTGCTTATTGACCGACCGATAGGTTACGCACCTCATCTGACGACCTGCATCTGAAGTGCGTCAGCTGTGATCTGAGGCAAGCGTTAGTTTGAGGCACAACATATACCCTCAAACTTTCTCTTTTACAATAACTTTTAAACTGTGTACTATACCTGGGGTTTAAAATTGGTGGAATGTAATAGATCCAAGTTGTTACGTGAAATTTTGTTCATGTTTGTATATATTTGGTAACACTTGAATACCTATTTTAAAAATCATAACATATTAATCTGCTATAATTTCTAACCCTATTAAATTCTGGTACTGATTTCAAAATAGGTATTTTACTCTCTATATTATGCTGCTCTAGTCATCCTTACATATTAATCTGCGTAATTCATGTTTGATTACCCACGAAAATAAGCAAATGATTAACAAAACCTGTTTTTGTTAAAATCACGAAACTTAAAATCAAATTGAAAGTAATCATACGGTAAATGTGAAAAGGAACATTCAATCAAAAGCACAGATTTGCACGAAAATGCTTTATACATCATATGAGTGCCGTCAAAAGAAAACCGACCCATCTAGTTACATATATACGGAGCTAAATATATTTTCCGACACTTAAAATTAATATCATGTTTTGAGTGTACAGTGTAAATAAAAGCAAAGAAAAGAAACTTGAGGACCGAATTTTAAATGATATTTGTAAGCAAAAGAAAATGGCATAAAATCCGAAGAGCTTGAATACGTATATGGTTTATTATAAACTTATGGAGGATGTTGAAGGAGAAAGCGATATGTATTGGTATATGGTATGCTAAAAAAAAAGGTTTACTTGTAAAAATTCTACCAGCAATGTATTAATCTTGTTTATCATACTCTTACCGAAAAATTATTGAATGAACGAATATTACCATCGTGGCGTAAAGAATTCAAAACTGTATGAAAAAATTAACCACGCATACTGTAGCATTAAAATGTGCAAAAGTATTTAACTGATTTTCAAAATTGGACAGGCTCTTGTCCTTATTCTTTTAAAAAAGATTTTATTAAACATATTTTTCAAAACTTTCGGACACTCTTTATCATAGATTTTACTTTAAGATATTTTAGTTTTTTTAAAAAGATATTTCAATATTTAGCTAAATTTGAAAAAAAATTTTACTCCAATTTTAGATGCGTAAAATTAAAATCGAGAGTTCAAATTTGATAGAATGGTATTAAAAAAATTTTAATCAGATATTTTAAAATTTAAAAATTTTACTAAAAAATAACAATAAATTTATCAAATTAATCGTTAATCGAGTTGATCTAAATCAATGTACTGTATTATTAAATAGAAATTGAATTCACTTATCACTCAAGTTTAGTTATTGCGGTTTGCAAAATTATGTGAAATTTGAAGTTCTAATTACTGATTTCCGATTTCTTCAACATTTTTTTTGACTTTTAAATTAGACAAAATTTGCGTATCTATTATTTTGTAAAAATTTTATTATTTTTTATAAAAATAAAAGTTGCATATTCATCATTTTGTAATATATTTGCAAAAATAGGTGTTACGCATTAAAATATCCAATCAAATGATAAATGCGCAAATTTTGTCTAGTCTAAAAGTCAAAAAAAATGTTGAAGAAATCGGAAATCAGTAATCGAGTAATTTTTTTTTATTGATCTTCAAATTTCACATAATTTTGCAAACCGCAATAAATCCGCTAAAATTTATATCGATTTAAAATCGATAAAAATTTGATTTCAATATACAAAATATATATATGGAATATGACAATCTAAGCATTACATATAATTACTTATGTAATTAAAATTGACCATTTCCAGTTTTGGTATAGACATAATTAGTTGGCATTGCTTGATGTCGGCTCAGCTTTGATTATAATAATTCAGATCAGAATTTTGTTGATTGCCTTAAAAAATATTATGAGAAAATAGCAAGTTTGATTACTATTGTTTTCTGAATAACGCTATGTAAGTCAATGCATTAATGAAATTTTAAAGGTGTTACTTAAGCTGTAAGAGGTCCATACATCCATACACAATTGACACAGAACTCGCTAATCGCAGTGTTTGTTGTTCTACTATACAGTAGTTCTCTTCTTTATACCATTCATTAGATGAATATTATTCATTTCAGCAATCATTTCATTATCATCATATTGTCTAATCTTTACGTAAGCACCACCTTTTTTTTGACCGTAATTCTATTTTGACAACGGTAAATGATTTAAATATTTCAAGTGCATTATCCATATTAACTGATTTTTGAAATTAACTAAATTTCTTATCTTATTTACAGTATCACGGCTTGTATCTTCTTAATGACATGATCAATATTACCTTTCATGTCTTATGATTTTGATTCCGGTTATAATTTCTTTCGTCCTAACTTGAGGTGTGAGCGCAATGCCGTAATTGGTCGTAATTATAATGAATTACGAAAAAAAAATGCTTTAATTCATTATAATTACGACCAATTACGGCATTGCGTTCTCATCTCAAGTCCTAACTGCTTCATCGTCATTAACTGTTCTAACTTCATTGAATGATGTAGGACAACTATGGTATATTTAGACATTCCTCAAATAAATTCAAATATTCATTTGTCAAGTATCTAAATTTCTGGGTATTTGTTAATTATGTTAATCAGATTTTAATTAAAGATTGTTAAGCAATTTCTAATGATAGAAAATTATTGAAAGTTGCATCATGAAAATTACAATTTAATCCAGAAACATACCAGCACTTTCGTCACAATCTCGGAATAAGGCTCTTCATCAGTATTTCACGAGCCACGAAACAGGTTATATCCTTTTTCACTAACTCATCGCTTCCTTGCACGATTCTATTCAACCTTCTAATCATTTTATAATATTTTAATCCACCTTCTAGATCTGTCCAAATTCTAACCTTCTAGCAAACGAATATGGCTTTACGGTCTCCAACACCAATCTCAAGAACAAAAAAAAACTTTTATCATCTCACCTTTCTACTAAGGTAAACTCTTCAAAGTCTTCCAGGAGTTATTCCACATTTTCGTTTACCAAATTGTGGAAATATCTTTTAATTTATTTCGTTACAGGTAATGCTTGTTATTGTCTTTTTTGCCTTTGTTCTCTCGTTTCTACATTAATACTAATATAATACTTTTATGTTTTTAACATGACGCTTGTTCTTTGACGCTAAGAATACAAATAACACATTAAATCTGTAAATCAGTTATTTTCAACAAACAACTCACCTAACCGAAGACTTTTGATTTCACGGATTACGAATTGAAAGAATAAGTCTTTCGTCTTATTCAGATCTTAAATTGTTGTATATTATTATATACTATCTGTTCATTACATAAACTAGCATATTATTTGGTTCTTTCCATCTAGCAAATAGAGATATACACTAAGCATAAACAGTTTATTAATTAAAATGTTTATTTATGACAATTTCTAATCATTATCAGTGCTGTGTGAATACCAGGTTGTATATATTAAGCGATAATTAAAAGCCAAAAAAATAAATTAATTAAATAAATAAATAAAAAGTTGCCTGATATTTCAAACCCAGGAATTACATGGGGGAGGAGAGCCCACGACCCGCAGCCGGATACGAACCAAGAACCTCATCATGCAGCCCCACAATGGGGATCTCTTCCGCACCGTTAATCCACATCAGGACAATTACCATGTAGCCTGTTTTTAAAATATAAAGCGATTTTTGTGTTACTATCTTTTTATGATGTCATTATCAGCTGAAATTACCCCTGCATGACTGTGCCGAGTTAAAATGATGATATAAAAAACTATTTATGCATGTACTACAATGATTGGCACAATGATTGACTATTAAAAATCACGTTGATTAGTAGCGTTAGCTCCCTTTTCAAACTTAATTAGCTTTCAAGATCCATAAATAGGCGAAAGGATAGATTGCGTAAAATATGCAGTATGTGGCATGTATAAGTCCACGCAAAGTTAATTTTTCGTTTTGCATTACATGTATCTGAAAAATTGGGTCGGTCGGTCGGATTTATTTATTATTATTTTTTTTTTGCTACTTCCATATCGGATAATTTTGGGAAACTAAGGTCTCCGTCGGATGAAACGGTTAAAATTACGGAAAAAAAAATAAATGGCAGAAATCGAATAATTGGCACAATTGACACTTAAAAAAAAAAAATTTTTTTTGAAAAATTTTAAAAATGGGTCGGTCGGGTAATGCAAAACGAAAATCAACTTTGCGTGGCCTAAGTGCTATCACTGATTGAACAAGGAGTATTGGCACTTGTTTATAAGCTTCATGGCTTCTGTAGGCAGTGAAAGGACCTCATATTTGATAATTAGACTCTGCGGCTATGATAGCAATGCAAAAACATCATGATTTTTGGTAATTAGGCTATGCAGAGATAGCGACACAAGGACTTACATACCCGAGTTGATTATAGCTACAATTGATAAGTCTTTGGCTATTTTATCCATTTTCAGAACTTGCTTTATATCATCTG